CAAGCAGCATTCTTCTTTTAAAATGTGAAAACCTTTTTCTTGACTTTTTACTCATATTTTGTCCATTTGGCGATTTGACTAATTTCACTCAGCACAATGTCCTCCAGACTCACCCATCATACAGCTTTGCGTAGCATGCCAGTGTGTGGACGTACTAAAGTATATCCATTCTTCCACCAATGGACATTTAGGTTGTTTCCGTTTTTGTGTGCTATTAGTACCTCTGTGGATACGGGCATGCATAGAACTACGTGCAGCATGGCTCTTATTTCTCTATGATATATACCAAGTGGAAGGATAGCTGGGTCATATAGTATTTCATTCCCCAATTTTTTAGGAAGATCTTTATAGAGGTTGCACCTTTCCAGTCCCATCAGCAGTACACACCCTGCTGGCTACCCTTCTTTCTCTCTCTCTACCACTTCCTCCCTGTCTTCACAACATTGACTGTTTCCTGGTTTTGTAAATTTTGCAATGAAAGCTGGGGAGAGGTTATATCTTATTGTTGTTTCGATTTGCTTTTCTCTAGTGGCTCATGGTTGTGAACGCTTCATATGTTTGTTGGATGCCTGAATATCTTCTCTGGTGAAGCGTCTGTTCATGTCGTCAGCCCATTTTAAAATTAGATTTATACATCTTTTATTCTTGTTGAGGTATACAAGTTTTTTTTATACATTTTAGAAATTAATCCCATTACTACCAAAAATGTCCCCCCCATCTATAGGTTTCTTTGAACTCTTTTGGTAAAAATCTTTTGATGCATATAAGTGTCAATTTGGGGGGGGGCGGTCTAATTTGTCTTCTGTGAGTTGTCTTTTATTGTTTGATTCTGTATTTATGCCATATATTAGGGCCCCTCAGTTTTTCCTTGCTCTTTTATTGAACATCTTTATAACTTCTTGCTTTTACATTTAGGACTTTGATCCATCTTGAATTAGTTTTTGTATATGGTGTGAGATACAGCTCCTCTTTCATTCTTCTGCAAATGAATATCCAGTTTTGCCAGCACCATTTGTTACAGAGATACTTCCTTTCTACTAATGTGTTTCAGTCCTTTGTCAACGACCATCTCTCTGAAGGTAAATGGATTTAATTTTGGGTTCTCAATTCTGTTTCATCAAGTTATATGTCTAATGAAAAGCTATTTTGACTATCACGACTATGCAGTTGGTTTTTAGACCTGGGAAGAGAAGCTTCCTACTTGCTTTTCTTCTTTAGTAGTGCTTTGTGAATCAATCTCTTTAATTTTCATATGAAGTCTATGGTTAGTCTTTCCATTTTTTAAGAGTGAGTGATAATGGAAACTGGATTGGGATGGTCTTATATCTTTTGATCGATTTGAGTAGTATTGATATTTTCACAATGTCAGAGTCTTCCTATCCATGAATATGGCATATTCTTCCATATGTAGGTTTCTTGTCATAGTTTACAGGTCTTTTGTTTCTCTGGTTGTAGATATTTCATCTTAAGGTGGCTGTAGTTGATGGTATTTTTTTCCTTTCCAGAGATATCTCTGCTAGGATAAAGGAAACCAATTGATTTTTTTTTCTTTTTTTTCCAATTGATTTTTGTATATTGAACTTATACCCTGCCATGTTGATGAATCTTTTAATTAGTTATAACAATTTTCTGTGGAATTTCCTATGTATAAGATTACTATATATACTCACGTATAAGCCGAGTTTTTCAGTATATTTTTAATGCCGTTTTTGTGGTAAAATTAGGTGCCTTGGTTGATATTCGGGTCGGCATATACTCGAGTATATATGTATATCATTTGCAAATGGTGAGAGTTTTACTTGTGCTTTTAATTTTCCTCTCTTTCCTTACAGCTCTGGCTAAGACTTCCCGCACAATAGTGAACAGGAGTGGTAATGAAGGCTTCCTTGTCTGGCTTCTATTCACAAAGGCATGCTTTCTGTTTCTCTCTGTTGAGATGAATGATGGCCATTGGTTTTGTATCTTTGCCCTGTATTATATTGAGGAATTTCCTTAAATTCCTATTTTTGATGAGGACAATGGATGTACAAATGTGCTTTACACAATTGATGTATGTATGGATTGTGATAAGAGTTGTAT